CAGGGAGGTAGTAAGGGGACAGGTAGGGAACAGACAGAGAGCAGTAGGGGACAGATGGTGTGGAGGCATTCAGCTTGTCCCCTGCTGCCTGTCCCTCCCACTTTACCCCCCCTTACCCTGCCTCCCACAGCCTCAGGCCATTGCTCTCCTTTCACCTGTCTCCCCTTTTTCCTGCTCCACACTGCTGCTTCCTTGCCCCCCGCCCCCAGCCTCGGGTTCTCACACCGACTCCTGATTCTCTACCCAGCACCTGCCCCTCCACCTCCCCTCTTATCTTTGCTCTATGCCAGCAGGGTCCTCGCTGCAGCCTGGGGCAATGAGGATGGCTTCAGCCTGGTGCCAGAGCATAGATAAGAGGGGGGCAGTAGAGGAGGGGAGTGTGTGTGTGTGTGTGTGTGTGTGTGTGTGTGTGTGTGTGTGTGTGTGTGTGTGTGTGTGTGTGTGTGTCGGGGGGGTGGGGAACGGGAACTCAAGGCTTCAGGGGAAGAATAGCAGGGGGTGCAGAGGCAGCAGGGACAGCAGCAGCTGTGGCTTCAGCCTCAACTTGGGGTTAGGGCTGGAGCCAGAACCAGACCCGGAGCTGAACCCACAACAGCTGCCTGCCCCATGCCACCTCCTACTCAATTTTAAGACAAGGGGATTTCCCTCCCATGTTAAATGGGGAAGAAAAACGTCATCTTTTAATTGAGTAAATATAGTATTAAGTTTGAGGAAAAATAAAATTTAAACTATCTGTGCCTCCCACCATTTTTACTAAAAGTAATCATGGGAACCTTGGCAGTTACACTGACTGAAGGGTTCCCTTTATCTATTTGGATTGTTCTGAGTTAATCTGTACATGTGGTAAAGAAAATATGTTGTTTCAAACAAGTTTGAGTCAAGGTGAATGAACTCATAAGAGTCCTTAGATTGGGGCTGTAGTTGCACAGACATTTTTCAGGTTCACATTAAGCAGTTAAAAATGAGATTATTGGAATCTATAAATAGAAATGGTTTTCTTGTTTCTGTGTCACATATAATCTATTTAATCTAAATGAAAAAGAATGGTTTATTTCAAATAATTGTTGTATGCTTCTAAAAAAGAAAATGAAAAATAAATCACAATAAATGGGCACTGAGATTCAGTGTCCAGACTGCAATGTTTATTTCAGTTTCAGGACTGTATATAAAGAGACTTTAGCTGTCTCAAGCCTGGAGAGGGGACACAACACTCATAGCCATTTTCAGACAGATGAACATGCACATGCTTATTAAAAATAACAGTTCTTAATCTTTTAAGGGGCCTTATCATCAAGGAACAGGTACTTATCACTTTCTGAAACTCAGGCCCCTACTAGGGTGAGTGCCCAAAATTGTCAGTCACTTTGGGAAAAGTAGGCTCAAGGACAGTCAAAGGATTTATTCTCTTTTCAGTAGGTAATATCTTCTAAAAACAGTAGCATGTTTATCCAAAGAATGCTGGAGTCCTGTCACATAAAATAGCTAGTATACTTTTAATATTCCAGGATGATTTGTTATTTTTTCTTCATTCATCAAGTCATGGTCTTTCCATTTTCAAGTATGTTTTCCCCAACCCTTATATCTGTCTCTCAAGTTGTGCAAAACAGTTTTCACAGGTTAGGAAAGATCAGGCTGAGGTCTTGCAAAGGACCAGATATAATTAATAGTTGAGTGCAAAGACCTAGAATCTGTGGTTCAGCTCTACCATGAAATGTACTTCAGCGGTGTAGAATGTCTGTCTTGACCATTCAGTCTGCAGAAAGTGGGGTAATATTACTAAATCTTATGCTTCGTACATTTTAAGGCCAGAAAATAAGTGTTGTGACCCTTTAGAATTTTTGTCCAGCATCAGTTAAAGACACAGTAGAGAAGCCTACCAGCTCCACTTTCAAAACAGAGCTTGCAGTCTAACACAGATAAACAAAGTCCTTGATATCAAGCAGTTTTCCCTATCTGTACAGAGCTAGACTCCCCAAGATGTCACACATCCTTTAGTGTGTTATTTCATAAACCAAATAGTTGAAAACATGACTTATACTAAAAGGATCAAGAAGCTCCAAGTCCTTTAGTCATTTTCATGGCTCTCTTCTTAAGCTTCTCTAGTTTGTCAATGTCTTTGAAGTGTGGACAACGTAACTGAACACAGTATTAAGTTATATATATACCAGTAATAGAACCCCACATTTGATCACCCCTTGTTTATATACCAAAAGATTCCATTAGCCTTTTAGGCGTCAACGTTGCAGTTAACTCATATTCACCTGATTATCCAGTTTGAACTTTCAGTCAGTCTTTTCCAGTCATCGCTTCTTAGGACAGGGTCTCCTAACCAGGAAGAATGGGTCTGCGTGCTTTGTTCCTAGATGTAGGACTTTACATTTGGCCATATTAAATACAATTTTTTTTATTCGTACCTGGGTTGCCAAATGAGTGAGTGAGTAGCTCAAACTGTGTTATCTGCAACTTTTTAGTTATAATGTTGTTTTATTTCAGGTCATTTATAAAATTATTATATTGCACATGGCCAGCAACTGATCAGTGTGGGGCCCTGCTAGAAATGCACCCATTTGATGATGATTTCCCATTTACATTTATATTTTGAGTCCTATTATGTATTGGAAAACATACAGTATTCTGGGCCTAGCTTCTGAATTCACTGATCAAAGGAATGTGGTCTACCAGATAAAAGGCTGAGCCAGGCCACAAAGAACTAGCATATGCTCTGTGGTCTTCTCTCAGCTTGTGCTAATTAAAAGCACATGTCAACGCTGACCTTCCAGTACAGATCTTGTACTGTATCACATGTGCAACCAGCAGTGTGTTCTTTACACCTATGGAAAATGGCAGTATTTGACCTTAGCTCTTTAACAAGTTTGTTCCTTGTCTCGTGTCTAAAAAAAGATTGGTTTAGCTAAACTTCCTGATATCCCTGAGAATGATGGAGAAAAGGGGTGGTTCAGAAATTCAACTTTAGCATTATTAACATAGGGTGCAAGACTTGGTCCTCTCCGTTTTGGAATAACATCTCATTTCCAAAGGTTAAATTATCTCTGATGGAAGTTGGTGCATAACCAAGGTCCAGCCTTTGTGTAATATAGACTTTAGCGTCAGCTGAAAGACAAAAGCACAATGCAGTTTCATGCAAAAGGCTCCTTGGAAGTATTTTTCTTGAGATTTGTACTCATTCAGACTAGTAGTTGTCCACATGCCTTGCTCTTAATGGAAAGATCAAGACATCTATATCACCAAAACTAGCCATGAAAAATCACAGCAAAGAAAAAATGGCATAAAATGCTTAACTAACATAGGACTGCTTTTATTTTATTTTATTTTATTTTATTTAGCTGAAATAATATATCTGTTTTATTTACATTTTCTTGGTCACATTTTTCACTGTAAATAAATTACACCAATATAAAGCCACCAGTGTACACAGGAGGAAGCTAAACAGAATGGTAACATGAAAAGAATCCTTTCTATGGAGGATTACTTAGATGAGAGATCTTTTTTATCACTTTGTGGATCTTTGGTATATGAGCCCTACGAAGAAAGTAATTCTAGGGCTGGTTATGGGTGTGTCTACACAGCATATTCATTGTTCCAGGCAGGGACATATTCAAATACACCAAACCGCTCCATGTGAGTTAACCAAACTAGAACTAGTATAGCTGCAGGTGAATTATTTAGCACTGCTTCTAACTCTTGTGAATGCAACTAACAATTCAGGGCAACAACTCTCTGATTCCTATATCCTATTTATTTATTTATAGTTCCTGGAATAACTGTTAAAGCAATATTTCTGAAGACATTTGACCATTTTCTAGTCATATTTACAGCTGTTCATGAGTGCAACCAATTAATGGTACAATGCAGCAGCAATTGGATATACCTGAATTAACTCTGAATGAGTTAGCACAGGCACTGATTGCAGTACAGCCATAGTAGAATGATACTGTCCCTAGGCTAGGTAGCCTTGCCAAATGGTAGAGGATATACTGTATTTTCTTGCATACAACATGTACCTTTTTTCAAAATTCAGCTGCTGGAAATTGCAGAGTGCATTATATGCAAGGAAACGTGATAATAGCAGTTGTTATGTCTGCCCGAGGAAAGCAAAAGAAAGCTAGAGTGCTGTACATGCGGCTCCACAGCTGCTTGCTGTGGACACTAGTGCAAAAGCTGCTACTCAGTTACCTGCTGTTTCTTACCAGTATTTTCAAGGAAAGTTCTTTTATTCTATTTCTGCCCTTCAAAAATGATATCTATATCTTACTAGGGCAGGGGTGTTGTATGTGAGAGAATATGGTCTTAATTCAAGCAGACCACCAGTGAACATGACTGTACTGCTTCCAGTACCTACCTTACCTTGCTCAGATCTAGGTCTGGTATTTATGCAGTCTTACACTGTGCCATGAAGACATTCCCCAAAAGACATTAATGCTTTATCATATAAGAGGCAGAAGATCCTGGTAGCTTCTACTTGCTTCCCAAATGGCTACCCATTCTACAAAACCATAATGAGTTAATTATTGTATACTTTGTCTGCCAATTCAGAATTTAACCTTTGTAGTTGCTGTTTTTTTCAATGGGAAAGATGAAAACACCCATGGGGAAGTTTACATATGACATCTGATGACAACAGTGCTGTTTGCTAGAACAACTCTTAAATTGAAATTTTGACTTTGTGGATTTCAGTAGGGCTAGAATTTCACCTTAACACCTAGTTTTAAGTCTATCAAATTCAGAGATAAAAGTCCCACAAGAATGTGCAGAATCTCTCCTTTACTCGATTTGGGAATGCATTATCCATGTACTTCAAACATTCCAGTAATTGGAATTTTGATCTTCTTAGTATTAACTGCAAGACATGCTGAAATTGCTTTAGAATCTACTTGCTTGTCTTGCAGTCCTTTTTGACAGTAAGGCGGGTCAATGGATTATTGAAATTGATTTCAACAGACTTCTGTTTGTCACCAAAGCCTCTTCTCTTCTGCTTTTAGGTTTGGAAAGAAATCCCGGCCTGCAATGTATGATGCAACCCCCATTGCTTATGAAGATTATAGCCCGGATGACAAACCTTTGGTTACACTGATTAAAACAAAAGATTTATAATCTACTGTATCTTTTTTGGATTATTTTTCAAAAGGATGGGCTACTAAATTAATTTAAATATTTTTAAGAAGAAGAAAGCATAAGAAATTAAAACCATTAGATGTTCCAGAATTTTCTGTAGAATGTTTAAGAACTAATTTTCTGCAGCTTTTAGTTTGAGAAAAATATTTTAAAACTAAATTCGTGAAGTTCATGAATTGCATTTTAATGTACTTTCAGCTCTATAAACTGTAAGCTTATAATAGTGTGTGCTTTTTCATGGTAGACACTATTACACAACCCAGATGAGCTTCTGTGGTTGTAACAGAACAGAAAAACAGTAACTGATGAAGAGTTTCTTTTTGACATTTCAGTGCCAGCTTTCTCAGTAGAGTTAGGAAAAAAATGTGAAGCATAATAAGATGCATAATATATCCATTAATTTAAAAAGTATAAAATGTTTGTGTTGTGAAAAAGAAACTAGTAAAATTTATTATTCCTAATCTGAATGAATTAGCGTTTGCCTTATTCCGTGCATGGATAGATGAACTTACTTCTGAATTATTTTCCTGAAAGTTGCTGAAACATATTCTTGAGTTGATGTTAGTCATTTTTGTAATAGTCTTCAAGGTAGGCCTTGTAAAATAAAATATAATTAAAATGCCTCTGGAGGCAAACAGGAGGCCAGATCCTCTACCCATTGAATTATTGGCGGAATTTACAGTGCCTTCATTGGGTGCAGGATTTGGCTCTAGGATTGGACTGAATCTATATTTTTCTTTAAAAGTCAAGGTTTTTTATATTGTGAGTAAAATAAGCATATGGTTTGAGCTGTTTGTTTCTCAAAGGTTGTTAATGTACAGTATTGTTTCATTAAATATTGTGTATTTCTCATAGTGAATCTTATTTATAGACAGTATGGTTTTTCTGTGGCTGTATTTGATTGCGTATGTGTTTCTTCAGATTCTTGCTTATTTCAGAAAATATTGAATAAATGTTATCAAGTCAAAGTTGCAGCTGATCATTTTGATTTCTTTCATTTCACGTTTCTTGAAACTTATACATTTAAAAGCACCTGAGTAATCCCTTACAATACCAAAAGAAGACTAGTTACTTACAGCTGCTGTCTTGAAAACAAGAAAGGCTCTGTATCCTGGGATGTGGGAGACCCAGATTAAAGTCCCTGTTTATCCTGATTCATAGTGATCTGTGATAGAAAATCCTGCTCTGAATCGGGCAGAACCAGGAAACTGGGTCTCTGACATCCCAGGTTAGTGCCCTAATCCAGAGGCAATATGTGCTTGTTTTCATTTCAGTGCAGAATAAAAATAGCTGTTAAAGCCTCAAAAGTTGCTGCAAAACAGAACTTGAACCATCTGGCCAGCTCAAAATGTTAGCACTCCATGAGTGTGGTGACAATGAGTTTAATGAACTCAGATTATCCGTAGGAGCAAAAACACAATGCTTCCAAAGTTATGTGAAACAAGAGCAAGATATTCTTTGTCTAATCTTTCAAAAGGAAAAGAAATAAAGCGCCTCTAAGTGGGTTCCAGTCCTGCAATTCAGTCTACACAGGAAGCACCCGGCATCTGCACAGAGTCAGCTGCAAGCCTAGGACTAGAGAAAGTCTGACACAGAAAGATGCACTTGTATGGCATTGGTTCTATCCTTGAGAAGCCTCCTCATGAAGTAGGATGGTATGCACATCAGAATGGAAGTTAAATGGCACAGATGCCTGAAGAAACTTTGGCACAATGCCTAGTCTAGGTCCAGACAGCATTGTTACTTCCTCACTTCTGTGATCACAAAAAAAAAATCACTGCTTTCCATGTAATCAAATAAATCAAGAGAAGATTCTGCCTCCTCCTTAGTGGTGACTGCAGGAGAGAATGGGATATAGATTAACTTAGTCTATTCCAAGTCCCTTGCAAAGTATCCTCTTAATAGTGATTCAGGCCAGGTACACACATTTCACTTAGCATGTTAAGTGCACAGAAAGTACTTTAAAACTGTAACAGATCAGATGTTCACAGCACTGAAAGTGCTTAATCTAAATTAACCCTCAATGAATGTGGTTTTGGATTAAAGCACTTTAGTTTAGAGTGCTTTTTGCACATCTGTACCACATCCATCTCACTTCAATGTAGGTCACATTCTGTTGCCATCCCAGTTTGAATTTGCTAGTGTTGGCCAATGCTTGTCAGCTCCTGGGCTAAGGACAGGCATTACACATACATTCGTTTAAGTGATCAGAAATTGGTTTAAATCTCTAACAGAACAGACATTCAGTGCACATAAACTAGTTTGAAAATGGCTGAAACCAGTTTGAGATAAACCTGGTTGAATGTAGTAGCTGGCACAGAGGATGAGAAGGGGACATGGCAGGGGACTTCAGCCTCTTCTCTCCCTTCTTCCCCGCTTCTCTCCCTCTTTCCTCTCTCCCCTCAGCCCCAGTACTGGCAGCTGCCACTCGCTCCGTGCAGTCCGGCCCCCTGCCACTCGGTCTGTGCTCAGGCTAGCCCCTCCCAGCAGGAGGAGGCTTATTCCTCCGGATGCTGCCCCAAGCCCAGACAGAGCAGCGGCTGCCCAGCAGCCTGACTTCTCAGAACAGGAGGGGGAAGAGGTCCTCTTCTCAGGCTAGATGCTGAGGGGAGGGGGGAAGGGAGGAGAGGAGAAGCTCAAGTCCCCATGCCCCCTCTCAGCAGGCCCAGAGGATGAGAAGGGGATGTGACAAGAGACTTCAGCTTCTCTTCTTGCTCCTTCCCCACTCCCCTTAGTTGGCTCAGAGACAGAAGAGGACATGACAATGGACTCTCCAGCTCTGCTCCCAGCTCTGGGGAGGGGGTGGAGCCGAGCCCCAACACGGGCTCCTGGATCCTTCCAGCCAGCCCCAAGGCTGGAACTCTCTCCCCGCCTCTGCTGAGAGGTCAGGCTGCTGGGCAACCACCACTCCATCTGCGCTCAGGGCAGTATCCAGAGGAATAAGTCCCCTCCTGCCAGGAGGGTACCAGGGCAGCAGCCTGACTTTGCAGCACAGGATGGGAGAGAGTTCCTCTTCTCAGCTCTTCTGGCCTAGCACAGACTGAGTGGCGGCTGCTGGTACCTGGGGTGGGGGGGGAAGGGGGAGGAGAGAGAAGAGAAGTTGAAGTCCCCTGCCATGTCCCCTTCTCATTCTCTGGCCCAGCTGAGAGGGGGGCATGGCTCCCAGCTCTGGGTACAGAGCCAAGCCCTGCTGCGGGCTTCTGCCCCCCACATGCCCTGCTGGCCTCAGCCAGCCCAGGCTGAGAAGGAGATGTGGCAGGGGACTCCAGCCCTTCAGTGGCAGGCTGGGGGCACAGCCAGACAGGGCCCCTTGGTGGGGACAGGGACGGGGTTATCCCTCCTCCCTCCAGGGTCCAGTGGAGGAGACAGCAGGGGGCTTGTTCCCTCACAGCGAGCGAGCATGGCAGTGGTGACAGCAGGCAGACCCAGCTGCCAGTGCAGGTAGAGGGTGAGGGACATGGGACATCTTCAGCCTGGTGAAGAGAATGCTCAGGGGGGACTTGGTGGCTGCCTATAAGTATATAAGGGGGATGCATCAGGATCCAGGAGAACCAGAGCTCCCCAAAGGATAACTAGGTCTAACGGCCACAAGCTTCTAGAAGGCCGATTCAGACTCAATATTAGGAAAAAACTTATTTACAGTCCAAGTGTCCAAGATCTGGCACCTACTCTGGACTCATTCAAAAGGCATTTGGATGTTTATCTTGCTGGGATCATTTGATCCCTGCAGACTTCCTGCTGCTGGCAGTGGGGCTGGACTCAAATGATCTCATGAGGTCCCTTCCAGCCCCTGATGTCTATGAAATCTATGAACTGCATTCATGTTCTTGCAGTTCCTCAGTCAGAGAGAATGTTTGTCCCGTTACAAACTGGTTTAACCTAGGCAGGTTAGATTAACCTGGAAAGGTTGAATCAATTAATTCTCTGGCTTTCTGAATGTCTGTCCCTGGTGAGCACTGGCCCAGCCCCACCCCTGGGTTGACACAGGTAGGAGACAGAAAAGTCTCTGTCTCCTCCCTGCATAGCCAGGGGGATGTGTGAGAGTCTCTCTGCCATGTGGATCCCCACAAGCCTGAGGGCTCAGTTCTTGATTGGGGGCAGGCCAGGTCCACATGGCAGAGAGGCTTTGTCTTCCCCCCACTACCCAGACCTAGTTTCTGGTGTGGCATGAAGCCACGCTGAGCCCCACACTTTACTTCTGACTGCTGTTGTCAGGAGGCTCAGTGGGAGGGTGGGGTGGGAAGGGAGAATCTGTGCCACGTGGACCCAACCCAGCCTTCCCCTCAAGACCCCAGCCAGCAAGCTGTGGTGGGGAGGGGCTCGTGGTGGTGGGGGCTCTGTTCCCCCCCTCTCGTGCCAGCTGATGTTGATAGTCACCAGCTGATGGGGGGTGGGGGGGAGGAGGCAGGGCTTGGGAGAGACTCTGGCATCCTCCTGAGAGGTTTACGGGACTGCCTTCCACCTGCTGGCTTTGGCCAGTGCAGGCAGGCACCAAACCTCCCCACTGAACAGTGAATGTCTGTTTGGTTCATTCCTCTCTGCAAAAATGGTGAATGTCTGTTTGGTTTATTCCTGCTCCAACTTATAGCACTTTAAGTAAAGTGCGATACAGCACTTCTATGAGAGGCTTTTTGAACATCTGCACTTAGCTGAAGTGTTGCAAGTTTCCCATTCCCTGGTGAGCAAAGGTTGCATATGCAACAGGGTATAGTCTGTTGGCTACTGGGCTTGTGCACAAAGGGACCTCACTCCTGGCTCTGTAACCATTATGGGTGTGCAAAATGGGCCATATCGATTCAGATTCAGCGCAAATTGGAGACAGTGATTCGATTAGTTGATTTGGATCACTGTCCCTGATTCAATTTAGCTGAATCTGAAGATTCGATGCTGATTCAGAGAATCAACAATTTGGCCATAGGCACAATGTTTTTAAATGTTTTTTCTACATACTTCGAGGTACCAGGCATGGCTCATGAATACTGCAATTGTGGGGTGGATGGAGTGTCCCACAGGAGCGGGGCGGGGGAGGCATATGCTCAGTGGCAAGCCTGGAAGTTGACCAGAAGTACTTCTGGTCCACTTTTAGGTCTGCTGCCGAACACGTGGGGGGGCCCCCTGTACCCCCTTTCTCCCCTGGTTCCCTGATCATCTGCGGGAGGACCCTGGGTGCCCTCCCCAGATCCAGAAGGCACCAGTTGCTAATCCGGGGGGACGGGCCGAGGGCCCTGCAACGTGCTCCCTGTTGGACCCGGAAGTGGATTGGAAGTGCTTCTGGTCCACTTCGGGGTCTGCTGCCGAGTGCTGTGGGGACTCCCCCATGCTCCTGTGGGATACTGCATCTGCCCCAGCATTCACAAACCA